TCCTCACTCACTTCACTCACTCACTCACTCACTCACTCACTCACTCACACACACTGATTTTCTTCTCTTCTCCTTTATTCTTTGCTCTTCTATGATCCTTCTCACCATCTGCCCCCACGCTGCAGCGGGAGCTCTTTGCAACTGACAGAGATGTTTACAACCAGAACGAAAATTAACTGCACCCCGGCAGCTGATTCTACTCACCAATCAGGGGCAGTAGGCATAAGTTTCAGCCAACCAATCAGTCCCTAATGTGTGGGCGGGGCCACATCAGCCCTGGCTGGACCTCTGGGGAGGAGGTCTGAAAAAAGGGTCAGGACGGACAGGAAAACGCAACAATGACCTAGATTTAAACAAAACTTTTCCTGAAAGCGGCTTTAGCATCTAGGAAAGAGCAGGGCACTTTTCAGCTCATAAAAGCTAATCATTAGCATTAGCAGCTCCACAACATGCCAGGACTCCTTCAGATTTGTTTTATTTGTGAAGATAAAACACCACAGTTGTAAAGCGTTTGAGGGTAAAGGAAGAGTTATGATGCTGTTAGCCAAGCAACGCTGAGATGTCCAAACTGACATTAATGAGTAAGACTCCAAATCCTGCCTCCTGCTAACTTCTGTTTCCTGAAACAGGAGTGCCACAACTGTTTTTCCTACAAAAAACGAGTCACAAAGCCTTCATTTATTCTAGAGACAACTGCAAATGAATTGAAAAAAGAGCGGAAGAGACCTTTAAGCATTGTGTCATAGCCAGATAAAACTTTTTTTATAAAACTTTTTTATTCCAATGTGATAAAAACTAAATAGAGCTTTTCTTTTTTTAATATCTCCAATTTGTGTGTTTCAGGCCTTCAGGTCATATTCCCAGAATACCTGCAGGAGAAATTCGTCCAGTCAGCTCTGAGCTACATCATGTGTAATGGAGAGGGGGAGTACGTGTGCCATGACAACCAGTGCATCTGTCAGTGTGCTGAGGACTATCCCCAGTGCAACTGTCCCATCACCGACATCCAGATTATGGAGAACACCCTGCTGGTGATGTCGGAGTCCTGGGCGGCCTCGTATAAAGACTTTGAGAGCTCTGGTAAGATTCCTTATCCTTGTGCTGTTGGGACCCGACTGACACATTCTTGGTTTTACAAACTTGCAAAAAAAAAAAAAAAAAAAAAAAAAGGAAAGGAAAGGCAGTTCTTGAGATATATTTAGCATGGAAAAATTCTTGGTGCTGCAAAAGATCCAGGTGCATGGGGTGCAGAGGGAGGGCAGTCTGGAACTGTCCTCCATTCTCAGTGAATGCAAATGCAAATAAAAGTGAGACATTAGAAACCTGGAGGAAATGCACACTTTAGAAGTCCAACATGTAAGTATACTATAATCTCTGATTAAGATTAAAACAATTTCAAGGTAACCCAGTTATATTTGCTAACAATAGTCACAAAAATAGAGCACATTTAGTAAAAAAATGCTTGAAAAAGAGATTGATTTAAATGTTTTACTACTGAACAAAACAATGTGCACCCATACAGTCATACATTTCAAATTGGTCTGTCTTTATTGCCTTCTTTGCCATTTATTATTGTTTCTGATCATCAAACATTTCAACCTAAGATAAACAAAACCTGAGAAAGTAGAAAACTCAGTTTTCAAATGATGAATACTTAGCCCAGAGTCCAAAAGTTATTGTTCCCTAACCTCATGAAATAGCAAGTGGCCCACTTCCTGTTTGAAAAATGCAACAAATACTATTGTCTGGCAGACCGATTGGGCGGAGCCACTAAAAAAATGCACACACACACACAGGCTCACAACTGCATTGTTACATCATATGGTGCCCGCTGATGTCAGTGTACCTCTTAGTCAATAGCGACAACAGATTTAAATTCAAATGCAGTGCAGAGTTTTTTTACCTGAAGAGGGCACAACACTGACAGTTTTTGGTGGGAAATAAAAAATGTAACTAAGATGCACTAAAGTGCCAACTCATTGACTACACGTGTTTACAGCACGAGTTAAATAGTTTATCAGCAAAAAAAAAAAACGTTGATTTAGGGTGACTTGCTCTTTAAGTGACTGCAACACCCTCGGCTGAAACAATGGTAATTAAACATGAGTCACACATCATTCTGATATGTGCAAATTCAGCCAGATGGAAGGTTTTTCACCATGACTGGCCTGTTTCAGGTCAAAGGTCAAACATTCTCCTTCTGAGCAGAATAATAGATCCAATTACAGCGAGCTCTCTGAGTCTACAATGCAGCAAAGAAGACCCAGACCATCACACCACCACCAGCAGGTTTGCTGGAATGATTTTTTTCATGCAACATTTTTGGGGGCTTTTTTTAGGGTATCTTTGAAATATTTGGTCAGCAGAAGCTCCCTCATTGCTGTTTGGCTGGGCTACTGAAACAGTTGCTTTTTGAGCTTTTAGCCTATTTCCTGTTGTTGGACAGGTTCTATTGAAGGGATTTCTTAGCAGTGATCATGTCTGGGTTTGTTCAGTCACATGGAAGTCAGCTTTAAAGTAGTTAATCACAGATGGTTCTGGGTTTTAAAAGACGGCAGTTCACTCCACCATAAATTAAATCACCATTTGGAAAATGTTGTTTGTTGTTACTCAGGTAGTTGTTGATTGATTGAGGTGTTTAAAGATACAAATAAAACTGACAAAATTCTGCAGAGATGCAAGTGCATTTTCAAAGCAACATGTTTATTAATTTATTGTTTTTAGCAAATATTTAAATTTATTTTACTTTCAGCAATTCCTAGACATGAAGTCATTACAAAAATAAAAATATAAATCAAAACGAAGCCACAACCCACAGACCGGTGATTTAATGTGAGCAGCCTCATTGTCAAGAAGCTTTTATGTTTAAAATAATGAGCCACAGACATTCTTATGACACACCGGAATAACCGAAGGCTGTTTCCTTCTAAACAACGTGACAGCAGTTGGCTTTAACACCTGGTAAGTTGGGATAATTTCAGGAATATGCATGCAGAATAATTGTCCAAAATGATGTCACAAAAACAAAATTCATTTAAATCCGATTTAGACAATGTATGGTTATTTATTTAGATGTATTATTTTTCACGTTTTGCATTGCCTTGTAGTATTTTATTACTTTTTTTCCTATCAGAATTGACAGTTGGGGTGCTTTAAAGCTGACATAGCAAATCTGTAAACAAGCTAGGTTTTGAATGCAAACACGGTCATGGAACACTCACCCCTCCCCTCGTGGTTCTTGTCTGAGAGGCTTCCACCGGAACCGGAAACCTGCTTTGCCAGAGAAAACGAGAGAGCGCAGAACACCAGTCGCCATTTTCTAGATCCAAGCATCTTTTGTTGTCCGCAACTTCAAATGGTGTTTTTCTTTTTAGGACGCTGGTAGTTTGTACTAAACTTTAAGCGGCAGCTGTTTTTCCTTCTCTGACATTATTGAGCCAAGAACCTCTTAAACCAGTGGTGTTCTGCTGCTAAATAAGTGTGTAATGAACGGAGGACCCAGGGAAGTGCGGCGGTTCAACGAGATGGTCTAATGGTTGCTTTTGGTCCAAAACGTTTTATTAGCGGAGGTTTTTAGACTAATAAAAGAAAACCACTTTATTTTTACTTTTTTATCTCCACAATATATTTACAGCTATACTATGTTAGAAGGTTGATGAGCTACATGAGAAAAAAGTGTTTTAAGCAAACTTGTTTTCCAAATTTGCTATAGCAGCTTTAATGCTCCCAGGTTAGGGATTTGCTCTGAAGGATAGAGAAAGCAGATGATCTGATGCTGGACATGATTCATTCCACGCTCAGTGATCCTATCAGGAGGCAGAGCTTCGGCTGTGTGGATTCAATAGTCGTGAGCACAGCTGCATCTGCTGCTCTGCCTGGCTGTGCTGTTGGAGTTTGTTAACACGAATCCTGCTCAGACTAAAGCCCAACACAGAGCAGGAATCTGGTGGATATGCATTATATCTGTAAATACACATATTAACGTGATGTTATCAGAAATAAAACATAATTTCACCAAATCAGAAGCACTTTCAAATAAATGTGGCAAGTTTCACCACAGCTCTGCAGGAGCACTATTGTTTCTGCAAAAACTGAGTCTCCTGACACTGAACTGCAGCGTGTCATTAGCGCTACTCCACTATAAACTAGTGTGTCTCAGCCAATATCATAAAAACATGTGCACAGGTTTGTCTTCAGTCACAGTGACATGTTACATTATGGCTATCGCAGTAATTACAGACTGCCTCAGTCAGCCGCAGTAGCTGAGCACATACGAGCAAACTAGCTAATCTAGTTATCTGTCTAACTGCAATTATCGCTGCAGAGCATTACACACTTTTTTTTTTTTTGCAACTATATCAGAAAACAAGTCAGCCTTCCTGAAAGAATTATGAGTTCTAATGACTGAAGGCAAACCTTAACGCCGGGTGGAGCACAAATTAGTGCAGGGGAGTGTGGAGTTTATTGCAAAAGTGACAAAAAGGGGAAAGCATTGAGAAGAAACATTTAACCGATTTAGCTTCAGATGCTGATTTATCACTAAAATTTCTCTTTTCCTATGGTTAATCACAAATTACTTCCACATCTGTGCACATGAGAATCGTTGCTACGGATGGGTAGGGTGATGTATTTGCTATTAAAGGAGAGGAATCATTTGGGAAATCAAATGTGCTTCTATAGATTCAAAAACATTGGTTTGAAATAATAAGCTGGATAAATCCTGAGAGGTAAAATCTCTAGATGAGGTGTGCTGGGCGGTTCACTTTTCGACTGTCGGGCATAGCTCTGTAAAAGAAAGGACACTTCAAGGCTTTTAAGCTGCGTGCCATTAAACTGACACTGAGACACACGTTGAAAATAGCAGCACTTTCCTAGTTAGATAATTCCAAACATTCAGCGTTGGCGATGGCCTGGATTTTCCAGGAGAAAGGGAGTCGAAAGAGGCATCTGACATGTCTGAAAGCTGGGTGGAGGTTTATGGCAAGTTCAAAACAGGGGAGGAGAAGGATTCTGGCATCTTTGAAGAAAAAGGGCAGAAGGAGCTCTGACATGCCTGGGAGGAGGGAGGAGGGGTTTCTGACATTTCTCAGCCGCGTCTGAAAAAAAGAGCTCTTAACTCAGGTTAATACAGTTAAAATGTCTCAGCCAGAAGAGTACCGGTGTGCATATCTTGAATCCTGTCTTTGTCAGTGAGAATATTTATGTTCTGCATCTCACTATGGCATTTTATCTAGGCAAAAGCATGTTCATACGTTTGCTTGTGTGATTACAGTAAAATGTTTTAAATTAGACAGAACGCCAAGCTGCCTTTTTAAAGGCTTCAATCATTTAAAAGTGTCACGATCTGCCCCTGCCTTCCTGACTGTGTTCCTCTCCTGCCTGATTAGCCCTTATTGTTCTCACCTGCCCCTCGTTAACCTGCCCATGTGTTCCTGATTTCCCTGTGTATTTATACCTCCCTTCTTGTGCCAGTCTGTGTCAGATCATTGTTGTTTGTCGTGTTGTTCTCGTTGTTCCTGTCGTATCCTGTCATTAAACCCATTTTTACTTTATCCGTGCCTGCATTCCTGCCTCCTGGTCAGCTCCACCACACTTGGTCCATCATCTCCACCATCACAACGTGACAAAAAGGACTATATCATGCACGCTTTGAAGCTTTCAACCATGTTATATTTAGGTTTCCTCATCAAACACACACAGAACAATATTTGTCTTAAAAGAATAATGTATAACTCAGAACAAACGACGTTTCCATTGTGCTAATGGTAATATTTTAATCATAAATGGGCCTATCCTCGTAGCCTGGTCTGCCAGACTCTTCCTCTGTTTAATTCTGCACAGATAAAGGGTCTGGGAACTCTCCTATTCACATAACCCCACCCCCTGAGAATTCTAACCGAGCCAATCAGCGCTGAGCAGCATATGTCACACACCATAACGCCGAGTTTGTCATAAACATGGCGACTGAAGCGGAGTTCGCTGCGGCTCTTTCCTCTGTTCTAAATGACTTGGACACATATTTAAAACAACAAGTAGAAGCGCTAAAAGTCTTTCTTCTAAAGAAAGATGTTTGCGCTGTCACCAGATGCCATTTTTTGATTACAGCTAAAAAACAACAGCGTCGCGGCCGTCACACACAGCGATGCTCAGTTTCTCATAAACAACGAAGACAGCGGCGGAGTTCGCTGCGGCTCTTTCCTCTGCTCTAAATGACTTGAATGTCTTTAAAACCACAACAAGTAGAAGCTTTAAAAGCATTTCTTCTAAAAGAATAAAAGATGTTTGCACCATTGCCAGACGCCTTTTTTTTTTTACTACAGCTAAAAAAACTAGTGTCGCGCGGTACTGTCGGCATTTCCGTCTTTTTTTCTGATTGGTTATTTTTGAGCTGCCTAGTCCCGCCCCTCAAGTGCCTCTTTTCCTGTGAGTTACCAGACTCATTCTCTGTGCAGAATTAAATAGAGGACAAGTCTCTGGCAGGCCAGGCTACTATTTTCCCTCTGAAAGGTTTAAACTGTCTAACATGATGGAGTTCCTTTAAACCTCAAATCTGGCAATAATTAAAAGGGATTGAAGGACATTTTGTTTCATTTTAATATGTATGTAGCTTGTCAAGACTTTATTTTCAAATTAGCATAATCATAATTATATATTTTAAATTAATTAATTAATTATCATAATCATAATCATAATCATTATTTTAATTTTTTATTTTATTTTAAGTATTCGTTATTTAACCAGAAAAATAAAATAACTTCCTGTCCAAGAGGCAGAAAAAGGTACAGTTACAAAATTACTCAGTTACACTGTAAAAGTTATATTCAAAATTATTGGAACTGTAGACACACACACAGACACACACACATAAAAGCGTGTAGTAGTCAGGGACCAACAGACAAAAAACAGACCAGTTGAGCTTCCGTCTTGGAGGAAAGATATGTTTATAATAACAACAACAACAAAAACAACTATTATTATTATTATTATTTAAAGATGAAAAATGCTTATTTTCTTAGAAAATGAAAGTAGTATTCACAAAATGCAAAAGAAAGAAAAATTTCACTTTGGCTGAAGACAAAGAGGCTGAGGTTGCAATCTTTAAAGTCCAAAGGAGAGGATGCTTACTGTGTGTCTTTATTTTACGCAGATCCAACCTCAAAATAACCAAACCAACAACACCAAGGAACACATTAAATTAGTTTTTTAAAGAAAAAAATAACTAAATGTTTGCAGTTTTATGTCATGTTTCTTTTGAATCACAACAGTTCCACTGCATCTTATTTGCATGTTTAGAGTGTAACGGACCAGTTGTGTTTCTTTTCCTCCATTCTCTCCCTCTCTGCTCTCATTCATCTATAGATGAGTTCAAGTCTTTCCTGAAGAGGCTCCCTTCCACTCATTTCCTGCCCATCAGCAGTGTGCATCTTCTGTGGGGCAGTGACTGGGACCTGCAGGCCCGTTACAGACTCCTCCAGAGCTCCCTCGAGATCCAGCGGCTCAAGATCCAGCATACCACCCGCAAGCTCTTTAGCCTCAGCATCCGCTGTCACCACAATCCCAGCCACCAGATGCCTCGGGAGAGGTGGGTAGAAATATGACCTTGATGTGGATTCGCTCAGCGATGTGAACCAGAGATTTAGAGTTCATGCTTATTGAGATGTGAATATAATACAGAGTATGTTCAGGAAATAAAAACTTATAGAATTATTTGTGTTTTCTCTTGTTATGAATAGGTCATGTATAATAAATCTGTAGCTTATGGCTGTGTTTTTACTTTACATCAAGTCAGCTTAGTGCTGAGGCTTGCACATGCCCAAAACACCATAGCTCACTCTTGTACTTCACTTAGGAGACTGAAAAGAAAATGTTGCTGTGGGAGTTTTCTTGTTAGGTCATTGCACACATCTGTCACCACCTACCACAGCTGCAGCTTGAGAGCCTTGCCGCTGATGTGCCATAGTGTCAGCAGTACAGCAAATGCCAAGAATGTCTCCAAACCACTTCAGCAAATCAGAAAACACCATGCCAGATAGGGCAAATCACCGGCTGCCCGTGAGAAGCGCCTCTCTAACTACTCAATGTAGGTGGCGTCTTTGTGTAAATGGGAACAGCATCAGTTAAATATTAACTGGAGTGGTCTGAAAATGAGCCATTGTCAACTGTCCCTGACAGAAAACGGAGCACACCCACATTTGTCTGAGCGAGTTGGCACGGGTTCGTTCTGAAGTGTTATCAAAGAGCTGCAGAATGCGCTTCCTCTTCCATGGAGTAAACATCAAGAGTGCCTGATGGCAGAGGAAATAAGAGCAGCGTGTTTATTTGTTTGCTGGTGTGAAACAGCTTTGCATCAGATGGAGGACTTATTTGTTTTCATCACATATTTTAGGAAGGTCTTACATTTAATACGGAGCTGTTGTTGTGCGGGGCGTCGTTTCCCTGGTCTCTCCACCTCCTTTAGTCCTTTCCGTTGTTCCTTTCGGATCAAATTTATTTCTGCTTTTCTAGCTTTACTCAGAGTAATAACTGGTACAAAATGTGTGGGGAAGATTTACTTCAATGGCTCATGTGTGAATCCAGCATTGGAATTCAGTCTGATATGACATTAAACACCCCCCCAACAGGGAGCTGAAAGCACATATAGTATTTCCATGATGTGAGACAATTGTTTACAGAGGCTTCTTCCTTTAAGAACATCCTTAGTGAGGTAGAAAATGTAATGTTCTTTTAGAAAATCTCTGCAAATTTTGAAAACCAACTTTACTGGAATTTGACTCATTCAAAAAAGTTCAGGATGGATTTTAGCTTTGCTAATTTTTTCACCTGTTACTCGTCAGTCTTCACTCCGCTGCAACCATTTCTCATAGCTAACTGTCATATCCTCAGCTCCTGTTGTTATATATATATATATATATATATATATATATATATATATATATACAAATATATCAATCAATCAATCAATCAATCAAAGCTTTATTTATAAAGCGCCTTCCGCAACCCTGTCAGGAAGCCCAAAGCGCTGAACATGGTACAGTATTAAGTAAATATATTGAATAAATAAACAATAAAAGAAATTCAAAATACAAAATACAAATTACAAAATACAAAATGGAAATTACAAGATAGATGAAACATTCCGGTAAAGGACAAATGTGTGAAACACATTTGGATTGAGTGGATGGATTGAGTGTACCAATGAAAACTGTGGAATGGATTCAACATAGTAGAGGGCCATAATCAAACATGTTCTGGAAACGCCAAGCGGAGGAGGTGTACATATATGTATATATATATACATATATATATACATATACATATATACACATATATATATATATATACATATATATATATATACATATATATATATATATATATATATATATATATATACATATATATATATATATATATATATATATATATATATATATACTGTATATGCACACACACACACACCCTCGCTGGCCACTTAATTGTGTACACCAGTCCAACTGCTCGTCAACGCAAATTACTAATCAGCCAATACATGGCAGCAACTCAATGCATTTAGGTACGTTGACATGGTCAAGCTACTACAGACATGAACTTACACATAAACACCATGGTACTTAGCAACTACTGAATCACAAAGAGGACTTTTGCATGGTCAAAGACATTTACAAGATGCTCCTTATAATGGGGAGCTTACTGTACTTACACCAGCAGATTCCATAACCCTGCAAATACCATATACTTTTTACTAGGGGCGAGCGAGTACACCACTATCTGTATCTGTATCTGTATCTGTTCAACCATCTAAATTATCTGTATCTGTACTCGGAGTGGGCGTGGCCTAACCCTTTTGCCAAATTGGGTTTAAGCCTGTCTGGAAAATGGGTAAAATGTGTACATGCGTGGAGGAAACCGAAAATGTGGTCACCCAATGGCTAATGATTAGCATAACAGCTCCTATAACCAACCTGCAACAAGGACCACCATATCCTCACCCACCTAACTGTTTGTATTATCCCACTCGGCGAGCTGCTCTGAGGTAAATCCCGTGAATTCCATGGTGGTTTTAAGACTGTCTACACTCCTCTTTTGGGAGAATCCCCTCAAGCTGTAAATACTCAAGCCCCAGTGATGGCTTTGATCATCGATTATGCTTCTGACTTAACGGTCTTTAACACCACACAATTCTACGTCTGAACGACAAGAGGGAATTTTTTTTGTGGTTTCTCCCGGGAACAATAATATCCATGGTGATGTTATTTTTTTGGCACAAATCTTTGGCTTCATCAAACTGAAAGATGAAGAAATAAAAGAAAAGTACACGACTGATAGCAGAGACAGGCTCATTATTACTGACATGACAAGGATGCTGGAATATTGCAGCTAGTTGATTTAACCCTCAGATTACTATACAATCTGCAGTTTTAGTGTCTGTACTGTGTAAACTAATACATAATACAAAAGGGATATTAGTACTCATTGCTTCCTAAGAGCTCTGTGGTTTCAGGTGTTTGTTGTAATGCTCTGCAGAAGAAAATGAGAAGAGAAAACAGACAAGCAAACACTGTTGGGAGGCTGTGTTGCCAAGGGAACACACTTAAATGTATTTTATGCTTGCGATATTCTGAGCAAATGAACAGTATATTCATTGCAAAGGCATAAATGGAGGTTCTGTAATATGCAGCCGGGCTTAATGCATCCTCAAAGATAGTTCTGTTGATTTTAATTATTCTGACATACAGCCTTAGCAAAGGGCTACGGGTCGTTCAGCTTTTAGTTTAATCACAAAATGGATCCAACATAATAGAAGAGGACGTTACTCATATTTATATAATTGCAGTTAACATGATGTGAAGCTTTCTAGCAGAAAACTATTATTTTAGCCTCTTACTTATTTTAAAGAAAGTTAGCCAACAAACACATTTGAGTCACATAGTGAGGTATGGCTACAAAAGGCATCATTAATTGGCTACATTTAAAACTACACAGTATATAAGAACTTTATCATTGTTCTGGGTTTAGGCATTCCTGCGTTACAAGCACCATAAATTCCTGTGGCAAACAGTCACAGTGGAGCCCTAAATAGATTTGCTAGAGCATTTCCTTTATTAGTATTCTTGCTTGCTTCAGGTACAATGAACTTAAGAGTCTTTATGCTGATGATTAATGGTGACAGATATGGAGTTGCATCATTCCCAGCCAAATCATTTGCATCCAGTTCAAGCACCGGTTTGAATTATTTATCTCCAGGTTCAAATCTATACGTTCAACACAAACTTAATCATGATTTATGTTAAACATAACATATACGGGTATTTACTGAACAACATCAGATTTTTCTAATAAATTCAGCAGTGTTGTATATGTTGAATTCTTTCCTCTTTTTTCTTTTATTTTTCTGGACTTTGGTATCTTTGTCAAAATAGAAAGGAGCAAAAACACAGAAATACCTGAGGTTTTTCATCTCTTTCCATGACACTAGAGCACATTTTAACAATAGAAAGACCATGACAGTTCTGTTGACTCTTTCACAATTTGCATGATTAATTGCTTTATCAAATAAATAGGTACAACATTGAGAATCCGCTACTTTTCCTAAAACAGTGTCAATTTTCATGAAAAATTGTACAAAATACGATCATTTCTATTCTACCTCTTCTTCCTTGGAAGACTGGGAAATGTTACAATCGACGTGCATCCCTAACATTTGATCAGTGTTTCTCTTCCTCGTTTTTTTATCATTTTATATTTTACTTTTTCTTTTATAACTAAAATAAAAAGGCAGAAAGAAAATGGCACATAGGCATGACAAAATATGACCGCAGGAATGATGTAAAAAAGACTGATAACATGCAGTTATTAAGGATGCACAATATGTCAGCATCAGTATCGGCACTGGTCAGATATATGAAACTGGGCCAGTATTAAAGTTTTTTTCCATCTAGTAACCCGTTTATGTATCCGTTTCAGAAGAGGAAGGAGGTGGTAATGCATAATTGCTTGGTAATATCATAGTAATAGTAATCATCTCACAAGTGTCAATGTGTGGTGTGAGTATAATAATAATAATAATAATAATGATGGCATTTTAAAATAATTCTTATATCTGGGGTGGTGATTGGCAAAAATCTGGCATTATCAATACAGGAAAGACGATATAATATCTTGCGATACTAAAAGCCAGCCAATAGGTAATTTTTTTATTTAACTTAATTGAAAAACTCAGGCCATACGCCAAAACTCAGGCCATAAGCCTCCAAGTGTATCAAGTGTTATTGCAAGATGTAGTTGTTCTACCAGAGTGAAGGCAGTAAAAACTGCTGCCACCTAGCAGTCATGGTTTGGATCTAAATTCTCAGTTAAAAAAAATGATACACTACTTTTAAATATCAATTCAGTATTACCATACAAAATATCACACTATTTCACTGTACTGATATTTTCCTACATTCCTTCTTATAATAATGTAATATTGATACATACTGGTTATCGGGTAAAATAGCGGTGATAATATTAAATATTGATATTGGCCCACATTTTCATATCAGCGGATCTGTCAGGATCTGGGTAAGACTGAGCAGACAGAGGACTTCCAGATCCTCTCACGAGTTGATGACATGGGCAGGAAGACCGGTGTGGGGCATGATGGGTAATGAAGTTCTGACTTGAAATGAGTGGTGTAAATAATTAGTGGGATGCAGGCTGGTTAGTTCAGGGGTGATTAGGCTGGAAGTGGTGGTCTAGGGGTAGAACCGTGACATGATCCTAACAGTTGCCATTCTGAAACAGTCTCTTTGGGTGTTAACTTTTTTTAATTTATTTATTTTTTTGGTTGACAAAACATTATTTTATTAATTAAATTGAATTTGATCTGAAATTGAACCCTAACAAGGTGAATTTATAGACCTTTAAAGGCAGAAGTCAAAATGACCGCTCATGGCCTTGGTAGTGACGGTAGGGTGGCCGTTCTAGTGTTAAAGATAAATCTGAAACAAAACAGATTATACATTCTCATGCAAACCCCAAATTATTGGTGGAAAGGGAAGAAAGTATTAATTGGATGTCATTATTGATTAATAAAAAAGATGAGCCTTGTTTCTACTAATGGAGACCCATGACAAAGACAGTGTTACTGAAACCACAATAAAAACTAAAAACTAATTAAGCAGTGTTTACAACACTTATTGTCTTGATTGGTACAAAACGCATTGTCATCCCTGATAAATATACAAGTTCACTCACACGTCAAACTGACCTTGACCAGACTTCTACTCTGAAAAATTAAGAATCAAAATCAAAATTCACCTCCTGTACTCTGAAAAGAAGTTACAGTGCTTTCAAGATGGCATGAGAAGTTGCCTGAGGGGGAAAGAAAGGACAAGACAGGAATAACAATTAATGCTTCCCACAAAGCATAAATCCTCCCCTTAAAAGGACACTTTGTATTTTATACTCTGTTTGACAGGATCCTTTTCAAAAAGAACTCACATGTTTATCGTGATCAAATTGTTAATGCTGCTTTTCCGTTTTCCGTCTTCTGTTTCTCCAGATCTGTGATGCAGTGGCTCAACAGGGTTCAATCCTTCCTGTACTGCAACGAGAATGGATTTTGGGGCACTTTTCTGGAGAGCCAAAGAACATGTGTGTGCCACACTGGCGTGACCTTGTGTCAGCGACCAATCCCATGTGTAATAGGTGGCAACAACAGTTGTGCCATGTGCAGCCTGGCCAACATCTCCCAATGTGGCTCCTGCAACAAAGGCTACAAGTTGTACCGCGGCCGCTGTGAGCCCCAGAATGTGGACTCGGAACGCAGTGAGCAGTTTATCAGCTTCGAAACCGATTTGGACTTTCAGGACTTGGAGCTGAAGTACCTGTTGCAGAAAATGGATTCACGACTGTACATCCACACCACTTTCATTAGCAACGAGATCCGACTGGAGACATTCTTTGACCCTCGATGGCGCAAGCGCATGTCTCTGACTCTGAAAAGTAACAAAAACCGGATGGACTACCTCCACATGATAATCGGTTTATCGATGAAAATCTGCCAGATGCGAAATAGCAGTATAGATCCAATGTTTTTCGTTTATGTGAACCCGTTCAGCGGCAGCCATTCAGAAGGCTGGAGCATGCCGTTTGGTGAGCACGGTTACCCGCGTTGGGAAAAAGTACGACTGCAGAACTCACAGTGCTTCAATTGGACTCTCTTGTTGGGTAACAGATGGAAGACCTTTTTCGAGACGGTTCATATTTACCTACGCAGTCGTGCTAAGATCCCAACTGGCCTCCGCAACGATACGGGACAGGGTCCCGTGGACCTTGCAGACCCCAACAAGCGGCAGATCTACATTAAAATCTCTGACATCCAGGTGTTTGGTTACAGCTTGCGCTTTAACGCTGACCTGCTTCGTAGTGCCGTGCAGCAGGTTAACCAGTCGTACACACAGGGAACACAGTTCTACTCATCCTCATCTGTCATGCTCCTGCTCCTGGACATTAGGGATCGGATCAACCGTTTGGCGCCTCCCTCTGCCCCCGGCAAACCTCAGTTGGACTTATTCTCTTGTATGCTAAAGCATAGGCTGAAGCTCAACAACAGCGAGATGATTCGAGTGAACCATGCCTTGGACATGTACAGCACAGAGATACTAAAACAATCAGATCACCTGACTGCAAAACTCTGTTGAGCGTAACCCTGACATTAGGACAGCAAACTAAAGAGAACCATCCAAGAAATTAACCACGAGAGAATGTTACTTTTATTTTATTTTTCCCTTTTTCATTTTTTGACCTTTTCTGCCTTTTGATGTAATATTAACTTTGTAAGTATAATTCTTAAAAAAAAAATAAAATGGAGGGACAGGCACTGATGAAAAGCTGTTTTGGCAGATAAAGAAGATTAATGGAAACATTATAAGGACTGTATCATATTTGTCCCAGCATGACTGTAACTCCCTTAATGAACTTAAAAGAGAAAGTGGAAAAAAAATATATATATATATTAAATCAAAGTACTGCTGAAAAGGAGGCCTTGATTATAAACTAAGGGATCAAAGGTTATTATATCTGAAACTGCCATACTTTATTGAGACAAAAGAAGACATTTTTAATGGAACCAAAAAAAAAATTTAAAAAAATTAAAAATAAGGGCAGACCAGATATTTTAATTCACCTAACGTGCAGAATATTTCAGACATAGCGGGCAGTTTAGTATTCAGATCTTTATACATTGTAAGGATTAAATAGGTCTAGTGAGTAAGTAGTCATCACATTACTTATACACTCTATTATGTTTCAGACCCTCGGTAAGTCTGCATAGGGAGTTCTCCGGCACTCTGTTCTGACACATAAGGCACACAGCAGGGCAGTAATGGATAGTCATGTCAAATAACAAAAGCCAGCTGTTTATATATACATATATATGTGGGGTGAATGTGTGTATATATGAGTGGGCATGTCTGAATTCCTTTTTTTTTCCGTTGGCTTAATGCTTAGTGCTGTTTGTCAATTGAATGTGTCACGCGAGATTGACCCTTTTTTGCTGACTTTTTGCATTTGGAGCGCTTTTTTAAACCTCCTCTGTATTTGAAATGCCAGTAGTTGTTTTTATTTTATTTATTTTTTATTTTTTTTGTTTTGTTTTGTTTTTCCTCTCCTTTTTTCCCACAAGGCAGACCCTCCTGGTGCGTGAATGCAATATTGTGGTCTGAAGATTTAACAATCAATGCTATTTTGTACAGCTTTGCAAAATGTACATGTTGTGACTGCTGATTTGTGGAGCTTTTAAGCACCAAAAGCAAAGTGTAAGCATTCATCATTCAGGCACATTTGCAAGACAACCTAAAGCCATACACTTCCCTGAGGTAGACATACATTAAGTCATACTGTTTGTCCTGACTTGTTCCTTTCGTACGTCTTTGTTCCGTTCTCTCAGATGATTTCAGATAAGAGCACAGCAAAAAGTAAGACGACACGGGACAGCATATTACTTTGATCGAGATTGTGTTGTAAAGCCATTGAATTTGTATTTTGTGCTGCAGGAAAAGAAGAAGACAAAGAAGAAGAAGAAGAAGCAAATCTTATATTAAAGCTTATAATACCTTTTTGGCAGTGTTACTCTGTACGCATATGATGACCTTGTGTAAAAACTTCATTTTCTTTTCAGATATAAAAGTAACATTTTCTGCATGTTGCTGACAAGCATAAGAAAAGCTGGAAATTTCTTTAACACTCTAAGTCATCAAACTGAAACATGAAACACTACCTATGTATGGATGGTCACACTTTATTTGGGTAATCCAATACAGAAACTGATTTTATCGCAGGTCCTGTCAGCTCCTGCATCTCAATGGAAGAGAGGAGCTTTTTTAAGTTGTGCATTACAGGTTTTCTAGCCATTTCTGGGGTTTGCACTCAAAAGAAAATAATATTTAAAGGTTACATTTTCGGCTGCATCACCAGAACTTAAAGTTTCCTTCTACAAAATAAACTGCTGGCTTTAATATTATTGCAGAACCAACATTTTCTTCTTGTCACTCCTTTGTGTTGTTATTAATTTGATGTCTGTAGGAATCATGATGTTGACAGTTTATTTTTTGTTGTGTTTGTATTTTTGGTATTTTGTTTTCCTCATAATTATTGTTGCCCTAGACTGAAATAAGACAAACATCAAGGAAAGCATAAATGTTCTGTAATGCGAGAAGTCTGCAAAAGTGGAAATTGGGATTCCAAAAACAATCTCCAGGATAAAAAAGTATCTAAAAAGTTCTAAGAATACTATTCCCAAAATACTTTCCTACAATGTGTATTCACGGTATTTAGAGTTCTCTTTAGGTGAATTATTGCCTAGATGTAAGCCAACACCTACACAGCTGCAAACTGAATATTATCTGGTGGTATAGACCATGATTATAAAATATGTCATTAAGTGAAAACAGATGTTTAAGATATTTAAAGTGAGACTATGTGGAAAGGCTATGAACAACATGGGGTACATTCCAAAGTGGATTATTGCTCTAAAAACTGATGAATGAAATGATAAGCTGAAAATTCTCTTTATTTTTATTCAACTATGTATCTGAAAATATTAATGTAACAATGACAAGTATCTATTATATTTAACTTAGTAATACTAAAGTAGTACCTTTTTTTATGGAATGTACTAATCCTGGTAATGAGGCAGACTTTCCTGAAACTTAGATATACACACATTTCTAAAATGCTATTTCTCTTATCTCAAAATAGTTTTAGCTATCAATGTGAACACTCGTCTTTAAACAGTCACAATGCTGTCGATTACGTATTACAGGATCATCTCTGCAGAATGATAGAAATAATGTAAAATGTTATTCAATTCCACCTGGAGTAGCTAAATGCTGGGCTGAATGCTACATGTGGCTAACTTAGCAGCTAAATTATACAATTAAACCATGTAAACAACAATGGAATACAGAGTTACAGCTATTAGAAGGTTTATAAAATACTTCCTTGAAGTTGAGTGAAATGTGTAGCCTGGCCGGCCATGCCCATGCTTCCTTATGGGAAGCAAAGGGCCTCGTAACGCTCCCATTCAAAAAACCCCACCCCCTGAGAATTCTAACCGAGCCAGTCATCGCTTTGCAGTCTACGTCACACACTGCAATGCTCAGTTTCTCATAAACAACAAAGATGGCGTCCGAAGCGGAGTTTGCTGCATCTCACCTCTGTTCTAAATGACTTGGACATGTCTTTAAAACCACAACAAGAAGTGCTGTGCTGTCGTTAGACACCATTTTTGACTACAGCTATAAAACAACAGCGTTGTGCAATACAGTGGTCATTCCCACCTTTTTTCTGATTGATTATTTTTGAGGAAGACGACGACAACGATTATTTTTGAGCTGGCTAGTCCCGCCCCTCATGGTGCTCTCTGCCTCTGAGTATCCAGACTCGTCCTCTGTCTGGCAGGTCAGGCCATAAAATTTGAGTTGAGCTTCAATTTGAGAAAAGTTTACTTAATTTGGAACTATCCCTGCTGTAACTAGCAGTTAGCTCATCAATCTAGGCAAAACTAATTTGTTTCTTTACTGTTCGTAACTTTTTTTAAAGAAAACTAATTCCAACTGTCACTTTATAAATAGCCTTGTATGAAGTACATTTCTTATTAAATATGCATCAAAACCCAATTTAATGAATTTCTGGGATGAATTGTCCCTGACAGTCCTATAATTTGTAGATTAGGACACTAAAAGGTCAGCTCTGTGTCATTTATTTACACTTATTATTTTTTCTTTTGGTCTACGACCATTTGTATGCTAATAAAATCACAACTAGTGTCCTCTGTTTGCATACTACTGTTAGTACTATGAGTAACGAAAGGTCTACAGCTACATGGAAATAAATCTAAATCGCCTACAATTGTTAATCTGATTCAGCTATAAGTCTGCGAAAAAATGCTTTTACAAAAATTGCAAAACATTGACTGTACTTGTGTTGTGATGCTTGGTGTTTATGCATGCATTGGTGTTGTTTTCATTGTAGAAGTCATTAGATGTGCACCCTGTTGTCAAGTGCAACAACTGAATTCAAATGTTGTGTTTGGTCAATTCCTTGAGGTATATGTTGTGTTGCTTTTGATTTAAAATTCTGCCATGCAGAACATGCACTTTCTAAGCAAGTTAGATATGTTTCTATATGGTGTTACGTGTGTGTGACAGAATTATTTGAAATGGCACCGAGCTGAACAAACAAACAGATTGCCAAATAAGGTTTGAGGTGCCTCTAAATGACTAGAATCCTGCAATGTAGAAACACAGTAAAAATGTAATTTATTTTATTATTAAGTGTCAGTATTGGATTATCCAAACAATATGTAACATTATTATTATTATTATTATTATTATTATTATTATTATTATTATTATTATTATTATTAAGTGCCTGTTAACAATCCCTTTAATATGTTTAGAGTTGGATAAAAACACAACAAATCTTACTTAGAGGAATGACTTTGGATTAGTTTCAGAATTTAAGACCACACCTGTAGATCAAATATATTGTGTTTAGTCCCTCTGGTATAATTCACTTTAAAAGAGACTTATGCATGAGGGGTTTAATTGACCATCAAACAGAGACAGCAGATAACTCAAAGAAATGGTGGATATTTCTTCCCCAGTTGTACAATACATGTGTAAATAGGATCTTGCTATGACAGTACCAATGCTGTGCTACAGTAACACTACCATAAACTATCAATATTAAAAGGGAATTTCAAAAAAGGCCCTCCAAAAACATAGCACAAAATACAGGGCACCCATGTCTTATGTACTGAATTAAATTCATGACCATCTATGACTGTTTTTATATTGTTGATAACTTGTATATTGCAATTTAGTTTTGAGCCACTTGAAAGGTCCATAATACAAGCACATTTACTCGTATGGCATTATGCTACCACAGTGTTGCTTACTGTACATGTATTCATAAATTTGTCTGAGCATTTTTACACCTAATACCTTGCCTATGTAATTTTTTGTTTTGCTTTTCTGTTGGGGTTATTATATCAGCTAATTTTAAATGAATGTTTCATATAATAATCTATTTCTCATTAAAATGTTATATTTAATAAGAAGCGCAAGGCTTGTTTGTACGGTTTCCCTTCACAGACACTGTTCTAGTGTGTAGCAGCACCATATTTAGGGCATTTTTTGACTAAAAGAAACAAAATGCAGTGCGATCATTTAAAAAAGCTTCAGTGGTTTTAACTCTTTTTTCAGATGTTTTTTATATGTAACTAAGACCTTATTTCCAGCTTTCTGTAAGTTTCAAAGGTTTTATTGGATTATTGCATTAGAATTAATCAAGGAATCAATATTTGTAGTGTAGGATCTTTCTTCAAAACCTCTGAAATTGCCTTTGGCATGCTGTCAATCAATTTTCAGTCCAAATCCTAACTGATCGTATTCCATTCTTGCCAAATATGTGATTTTGGGGTTTGTCTGAATTTCCTGTTGTTTTTTTTTCTTTTTTTTTTGTTGATCTACCCCACCTCTTTAGAATTAAAGTTTGAACATGAAACAATTTAATTAAAAAAGCTAAATTTTTTTAATAACATCTCCACCCAGCTCCTGGTGCAATCTACTGTCATCTCCCGCCTCGATTACTGCAATGCCCTTCTAACTGGTCTTCCAGCCTGTACTGTGAGACCTCTTCAAATGGTCCAGAATGCAGCGGCACGTCTGGTCTTCAACCAGCCAAAAAGAGCTCACATCAACCCTCTGTTCATTGAGCTCTACTGGCTACCGCTAGCAGCATGCATCAAATTCAAATTGCTAACACTAGCATACAAAGTCCGAGATGGTACGGCTCCCATCTACCTGAATCCTCTTGCAAAGGCTTACGTCTCGGCCCGGCCGCTCCGGTCATCACAGGATCGTCGGCTAGCAGTGCCTACACCACGCTCAGGACAATCCAGACTCTTCCCATGCATCGTTCCACAAATGTGGAATGACCTACCAAGCACTACCAGAACAGCGGCTTCCATTTCAATTTTCAAGAAACTCCTGAAGACCCTGCTCTTCATCTTCTTAACTAGCACCCTCCCAGCACCCGTCCCCCCTCTCTACTGTCCACTCCTTGTTCCCTACTCTCCATGACTGATGTCAAGTTGTTGTTGTTATTGTTGTTGTTAGCCTCAAGGGCAATATGCCGATTATCACTTGTAAGTCGCTTTGGACAAAAGCGTCTGCTAAATACATAAACAAACATAAACAAGATGTTTAGAGGTGTGCAGAATGAAGGTACAGTATTTCCTTTATCTTTATTCCTTTAGCTATATTTGAAAAATTTTATATATATATATATATATATATAGACGGGCATGACACTGGGTTCATGTTGTCACGATGGATGGTTAGGAGGATGGTTAGGAGCCAAATGCAGGAACCCAAGATGACACGAGGCAGGAGATGATATGAAGTAAAATCCTTTTATTAGATGAATGAAACCAAAATATATCCAAATGGGGCTGGAGCCAAAAAACCAATATATATCCAAAAGGGCTGAGCAGGAGATCAAAAACACTCGAGACTAAGAGACACTGGAAGCCAGGAAAACACTAGAGAAACCACGAGAAGACTGACAGAATAACCACAATGGACAGACACAAAACAGAGACAAGACAGGGCTTAAATACACTGGGAGGAACAATTAGGGAAACAGGAAGCAGGTGCGTGGAATGAGGGCTGGAGGGAAGGCAGGTGACAACAATTATCTAAATGGGGAAACAAAACCAGAGGAGGGCAGATAAACCTAAAACTATAAAACACAAAACTAAACCTAAAGCCTGAGGCAAGGACTCTCACTCACACACACACACACACACACACACACACACACTCACTCACTCACTCACTCACTCACTCACTCACTCACACACACACACACACACACACACACACACACACACACACACACACACACACACACACACACACACACACCTACTAAAGCTTGGTTTATGCTTGACGCATTCACTTTCCGCGCGGTGATGCGGCTCGCGGATGGAAAGCGCTTCACAACTCGCAGCGTTTATGGTTCATGCGGCTCGTCTCTGCGGTGAGCCAATATTCTCCCAAACTGAACGGGGCAGCATGGAGCTCTACGGCATGCATCCAACACTACACCATAGTAGAAGTAGAAATTACTGTTTACAACATGGCATTTCAGCATTTTTAACAGCGTTCTCATCTTTTCCGACAGTGCGAGCTATTTCTCTCCAAGAATTATTAACAACATGTTGATCACGGTGATCTCTGAGAGCTGAATCATACAAATGTCTGTATTTCCGAACCTCTGCCATACTAGTTCTTGCCGGTCCGCCATGTTTTCCCGCGTCCGTCCGTCCGCGTGGTTAGAAATTTTCCGAGGTGCACGTTGCAGAAATTCTGGGCCGTGCGGAGGCGCAGTGGAGGGGCGTGGTTGTTAAAATGACGCAACTTTTCTGCGCGGAGCCGTGCGGACCTCGCGGACGCGTCAAGCATAAACCAACCTTAACACACACATACACTGAACTGGGGAATGGACACACACACACACACACACACACACACACACAGACACACACACACACACACACACACACAGACACACACACACACACACACACACACACACACACACACACACACACACACACACACACACACACACACACACACACACACACACACACCGAGCTGGGGACAAAGAGGTTGGAGCTACACCTGGAGGGCTGGGGATGACTAAATGGCTACAAACAGTAGACACATAAATGAGATGCAGACAAAGGACACATGAGGGCGCTATGAGACACAAAAGGGGAATCTAGAGAGGGATGGAGAAACATCAGGAGACACATGAGGGAAGACGCAGACCATGACACATACATCTACCAGCCAATGGTGGACACCATTGCTGGTTGCGAAACAGTTTGCTCAGTACGGGGAGGGTGGCACTGTGGAAAATGGCGGACTCAGCTAGTCTAGCAACAGCTTCTGAGCCCAGAAGGTGTCATTATCTGACTCAGAAGAGAAGCGACCATAAGGGATCTAAAGCCAGATGAAGCCTACAACAGATGGACCCAAAAAATAATAAATCTCATATCGGCAGCAAACATGGTATCCGGGAAACCTTGTTCTATTGTTGCAACTACAACCTCAACACGCTAGATGTCGCTTTGGTGTTCGTGTTCCATTTTCAAATGCCCATTAGGCATCTGGTAACAATGCCTAATGGGCGCCTCCCTGGTGAGGGTTTCCATGCACATCCACCGGGGAGAAGGCCTAAAGGAAGACCCAGGTACGGCATACATTTTAGGACATCCTCAGGTCTCAGGTGTCAAACATCAGACCACAGAGACAAAAGCATCAGGCTTTATACCAAAAGTCATCTGGAAAAACGTTGTCAAACCAAAAGTTGTTGGAAAAAATTTTGTCATACCAAAAGTCATCATAAAAATAATTGTCAAACCAATAACTGTCAGAAAAAAATTATTCAAACGAAAAGTCGTCCGAAAAAAAGTTGTCAAACCAAAAGTTGTCAAGTTGTCAAACCAAAAGGCCTTAGGAAAAAAAAGTGTCAGAAGCAAAACTCTCCGACAGAAATGACAATACTAGGAGAATTTAGCAGATGGCACCATTGTCAGATTGCACCGCGGCAGGCTTGGCGTGATGTCATCAATGTGTGACAGCAGTAGCCTGGGTTTTGAACTGAACCATGGACGGTAAGTTTAAATAATTCTGCCTTTTCACTCTATATTTGCTACATTTATGTTATATTGTGTTGCAGTTGGGTTTTGAAAATTGACGACTTTTAATTTGACAACTTTTTTCTGATGATTTTTGGTTTGACAACTTTTTTCCTGACGACTTTTGATATAAACTATGTCTCATGGCTGGTCAGAGAACGCCTTAGGCTTCCCCCAGAGGAGCTGGCCCAAGTGGCTGGGGAGAGGGAAGTGTGGGCTTCCCTGCTTAGGCTGCTGTCCTTGCGACCCAACCCCAGATAAGCGGCCAAAAATGGATGGATGGATGGATGGCATCCTATATTTTTCATAATACACACCTGTAGCCTAGAAATCTCGACCAGTCGTAGCAATAGCAAACAATTTTGCTTATCTAAAATGGTTTTGGCATCAACATTGGAATATTTAGGCTCGCGTCTTTCTTTGAGACGTGAGCAGATAAAAGTTTGTAAGTCATTTATTTTGAGAAAGGATGCATTTGCTTCTACGTATTTGTGGAGACTGTTTGAAGGACAATTGTAGATTCCGCTCCATGTCTGCTCTTGGCCAGACCATGTAATTACATACAAAGGATGGCTTGCCATGCTAACACATGAGGAACTAACCATTCTGCAAAAAACATTAATGTAAACCTGGTTTTTTATGTCACAGCAAGGTCTTCATCCTGTCTGAAGGGTAAGATGAGTGACATGGAGTATAGAAAAGAAGAAGAAGAAGAAGAAGAAGAAGAAGAAGAGATATTTTCTATAGTGCCTCTCAAGATAAAAATCACGAGGCACTTCACAAAAACATAAAATGTAAAATTATAAAAAATAATTTAAAAACTGATTAAAAATATATTTTAAATGAGCAAAATATAGACAATTGTGATTTAAAAATGCAAAGAAAGAGAGAGAGTGAATAGGAAAGGGGGAAATCAGTGGATCCTGAGGAAGGTGGAATAGGTGTGGAGAGCAGAACAAGGAGAGGGTGATGAAGGTCACACCAAAACCAGCTTGAACAAGTGAGTTTTCAGCTGCTTTTTAAACGAGTCCACTGAGTCCACTGATCTCAGGCTCAGGGGGAGAGAGTTCCAGAGTCTGGGGGCCACAGCAGCAAATGATCTGTCACCTTTGGTCTTTAGCCTGGTGCGTTGCACAACCAGTAGGCTTTGATCACTGGACCTCAGGGACCTGCAGGGGGTGTAGGAACTAAGAAGATCACCAATGTATGATGGTGCTTGTTCATGTAAGGCCCTATAGACCAGAACCAGGATCTTGAAATGAACCCTGAAGTTGACTGGCAGCCAGTGAAGCTGGAGGAGAAGCGGGGTGATGTGGGTGTGTTTGGAGGACTTGGTCAGAAGCCGAGCAC